CCTCGTCGATAGTCTCCTGGTCTGACGGCGAGCACATTCCAGTCAGAACGAGGTGAACAGGCAGGCTGTCAAGACGACGGACCGGTCGGTACCTTTCAGTAACCTCTGGATGATCTGCGGCGCTTCGAGGCGCACGAGCATGCCGCCCATGTCCATCCAGCCCTTGGTTTTCGGTGCGCTGGCCTTGCGCAGTTGGGTGAGGGCCTCGCGATTGGCAGTGCGCTGGCGGTCGAGGTCGGCGAGCAGGCGCTGGGCGGCAGCAATGTCCTCGACGAGCTGTTCGGCCGTGGCGAGGGCTGGCATTTACGTGTTCGGTCATGCTGGGTCAGAACCGATTGATCGTGCAGCGATGGCCGGGCTTGCTGACCTGGTCGGGACCGCACCCGTCAGGTAATCGTCGGTGCTGGGCTCATTACGACTCGGAAAAGCGGCTGAAGAGCTTTTTGCGGGCGGTGGCGCGCGGCGTGCCGAGGCCATTTTGAGCGGTGGGCCGTCCGTTGATTGCCTGTGCGGGCAGCGCGAGCCGGCCGACGAAACGAAGCGCCGAGACGAAGCGGTGGAGGCGCGAGACGTGTCTCGCATCTACCCCGTGCCCGCCCCGTGGTCGCCCCGGGTGCCTCCTCTTTGCAGTGAAAGCGGGTGCCCCCGTGGGAGCCCCTGGCGCACGTGCGCTCGACCGGGGCAGCAGGCGACCTGCCGCACCCGTCGGCGCGCCATTACCGCGACGCGTGGGCGCGTCTCCTGGCCAGAAACAGCCCGCCCCCGAAATTCTGTCGGGGCGATGCCGTCGCGCCAGAGCAGCACCAACTCGTCCGCACGCGTGTCCGCCCAAGCGCAGCGCAGCGCGCAGCCTGATCTCGACGATGATGACGGCCGCGACAACGTCGCCCACGCACGATCCGCCCACGGCGACGACGAGCACGACGAGCGCGCCCACCTCCACTCTCGCGCTCAGCCGCCCGCGCGCCGCCTCGGCCGTGCACTCGCTCTCGTCACTTGCCGCGTCGGACGGCCTGCACCAGCAGCAGCAACAGCAGCACGCCGTGGCGCCCTCGTCTCCCGCCAAGCACTCCGTGCACCGCGCCTCCTCGTCGTCCATCACCACCAACTCGCTCTCGACTTCGGCCAACCGGTCGGCGTTACCGCGGCACGGCTCGCAGCTGCTCAACACGAGCCTGCCCACCGCGCAGTTACGCAAATCCGCTTCCACCCTCGCGCTCGCCTTTGCGTCCGACTTTGCCGCGGCCTCGGCGACGCCCGCAGCGCACCAGAGACTGCGTGCACGGTCGCGCGCCAATCTCGCCTTGTCCCCCGCCGCGTCGACGCTCGAACTCGACCGCATTCTGACCGCCGTCGAGTCGCAGCTGCAGACGGCCGGCAAGGCCACGACCATCAAGCTCGCAGATCCGATTGCTTCGACGTCGCCGACGTTGCGCATCGCCCCGCCGCCACCACTGCCGTCGGATCCGCGCGCGCTACCGCGCACGGCCTCGTTTCTGCTGCAAGTGACGCTCGGCGAAGCGCGGTTCCCGCCGTTCCAGGTCGCACCTGCTGCTGACGCGCGTCGTGGCACGACGGTCGGTGGTACAGGGCCTGTTGGGAAGAAGGGAATTTCGATTGCCGCGGCAGTTCCGTCGCCCGGGCTCGGCGCTCCGAAACTCTTGCGCCCGCCCGTAGCGCCAACGGCGCCGTGGACGGCAGTGACAGCGTCACAAGTGAACGCGTGGTAGGTGTCGTCTCGTATTTTTGCTAGGATCCGGTTGCTGCCGCCCGCTCCTGCCGCTGCTGCTGCCGCTCGCCTCCTTGGGACCCCGCGCCGCCAAGTTCTTTCCGGGGGTACCTGGTCCCCACCTCATCTCCGCGTCGGATCGAATGCTCACCCGATCCGGCCCAATGTCTCAACCCTAGGCCATGCCGCTCTTCTCTACCACGACGCTCGGGTCGGCTGACGTGTCCCCGACCGACCCCGGGAGTACGCGCCGGCCGAGTATCAGTTTCGCCGGCTTGAGCCCGCTCGCCGACTCGCCCCCGACGTCCCCGACGATCCTGCGGTTCCGCGACAGCGGCAGCACGGCGAGCGGTGTGGGCGGCAGTTCCACGCTCGTCTCACCCATGACGCCGCTCGGTTTCTTGCCGCACGGGCCGGGTCCTCACGCGCACTTGATCACGTTCAGGCACAAGGACTCGAGTTCGTCGATTGCGAGCCGTACGGCGGCGCTGACGCTGAAAGGTATGGATCGGGTTTTACTTCGTCCCGTTCAACGATGACGAGTGCTGACTTGGGAATGAAAACAGATGAGATCTATAAGCTTCTGCCGCACCCGGTGCCGCGGTCCTTCTACAAGTTCTTCATGTCACAAGAGTGCGACCTGTTTCTCAAGCACGGCGTGCAGTACCTCGACTTGTATTTGCGGCACAAGAAGGCACAGCTCGCGGCCGAGAGCAAAGTCGGGCTCGACCAGCTGAAACGGTTCGTCCCTGACCTGATCCCGCCGCCCGCTCATGTCTCACTAACCGCCTTCCCTCCACCAACAAGTCTTTACATGGCCCAACTCGCGTCGCTCCCCGACACCGACGCGCCCGCCCCTCCACCGGACCCGTGCGACCCCGCCGCCAGTCTCAACGACTCGGCCGCCATGCGCAGCATGACCCCCACCACCACTGAAACCCCGACGACGGCGCCGGCCGACATGGACGTGCACGCGCTGGCCCTGTCGCAGGAAGCGCGCGAATCGCTCAAGGCCGACCGCGACGCGGCGATGCACAAGATGTGCCAGGGGTACGCACGCATCGTGCAGCGGTACGGCGCGGCGATGAATTTCGCCGTGGAGCGGTCGTTTTACGAGGTATGTTGGCGGCGCCTCTTGCGCGCTTGGGCTATCATGGCTCACTCTGCGTACCGACATGGACACAGTGTTTCTACAGCATGCTCGGCGACCACTTCCGCGCACACGTCCCGACACCCGAATGGCCCGCGGTACGCACGCACCTCGAATCCATTTTCCAAGCGCACTTCCCGGCCTCCCGCGCGCCCGCACCCGGCTCGGCCCCGCCGAACCGCGCACGAACTTCCGTCTCGGCCGCGGCCTCGGCCGCCGCCGCAGCACTCGGCCCATCCCCCACGACCGCGCGATCGGCGTCGCGCGCGGCGCCCAGCGAGGAAAGACGCGCGAGTCTTGCGACCGACGCGCAGGGCCATCGCGTCCTGCGCGCGCATTCGACGGCGGCGACGGGCGGTGGGGCGGCCGCGGTCGCCATGGCATTGGACGGACTCGGCGCGTCGATGGCGCATTTGGCTACGGCGGTGGCGACGCCCACGGCGGCGATGACGGTCGGGTTGCCAGTGGCGAGTGCGGTCCCGGCGGGTAGTGGGAAGCCGAAAGTGCGCGCGCAGCATGAGGTCATGGACGTGATTGAGCGCGCGGTGGAGCGGAAGCGGGTCGAGGATGGGAAGCAGCGGGAGCGGGAGGCAAGGCGTAAATTGGAGGCGGCACATAGTGCGCGGTACGTGCTTTGCATCGGGGATGGTGAGGGAGGCGCGAGGACTGACGCGGGATTGGTGCACAGGGATACGTTCTCGCTGCGGTCTGTGATCCACGCGCGCAGCCCGCTTCTCGCCCAGGCGATGCCGACCGCGCGCGATCAGACGCACCGCGTCCTCGAACAGTCGAAAGAAATCATGCAGGCCGCGACGCAAGCGTATGTCCCCACCTCTTCTCCCCGCATCACGCCACGGATCACGTCGCTCACTCACTTTTGGGTCCAGTCGCGTCGACCTCTCGCAACGCCAACGCACCCGACGCGGCCGAGGCCGCCCGGCCCCCGAACTCGGCACGTCCGTGGACCTTGTCGAGGACCCGCCCGCGGTCCGTCGGCACGCGCTCGTCGCTGAACGCAATCGCGCAGGCCGGTCGCCGTCACGCGCGGCGGCACGGATCGCGTCTGCGTCCGCGTCGGCTGCCGCTGCGGCAGCGGATGTGGTCGTGGCCGTGGCCGAGCCCGTGGTGCCGTCGCCGCCATCACGCCGAGCAACGGGTACGGTGGGAGGCAGTGCAGGTGGGGTGATGGCGGGCCGCACGGCGGCGTTGCGGTTGACAGTACGGAACGAGCAGGATTTGGCGGTATTGGAGGGACTCAGTTTGGGGGCGTTGGTGGATGAGCCAGGGGAGATGGCTGGAGGGATGGGCGCGGATTGAAGGAGGATGACTTGATATGGTGGGGATAGATGGTGGACAAGGCGCGCGACTTGAAGCGGCATCGTATGAAGAAGAGGACAACCGGAGTTTGTGGAATTTTTATTCATGGCCAAGCATTGCTGTGACACGGCAATCAGAGGGAAACCAATCCCAGCTCCAATGCTTGATATGCTTGATAGGAAAGATCTAAATGACCAAGGAGCGCACCACGCATCAGCACGGAGGAAAGAACAGCGGCAGCAAAATATAGGTACTTGAGATCGCCCTCGAAAGTATCTGCTCCTCATCAACGGTCTTGGAAGTGATTTATGAGCAGTTTTCGATCCTGCGACCTCAGGGATATGACCCCTGCAATCCGTGTCTGAGTACATGTGCCTTCGTGCGTTCTACAGTCCGATGCCTTACGAACGGATGCCCGTCTGGTCGTGCGGCCGCACGCAGCAATGACAACGTCGGATTTTCCTGGTTGAAGTGGCTATGTCAAGCTTGTTGTCTCAGCGCTTCAGGTCGCTCAAAAGCGCTTGCCTGGTTCACCTGTCTGAGCTTTCGTGTCCTAGCCTTTGTTGCCAACTCGTCCCAGCCCCTGGATCTACAGCAGGAGGAAGATGACTTGACATAGGGGTCCAGTGGCCTGGTCATCATTGCGACTTCGGGTTGAAATGGATCAAGTTTAGTGCTGAATGATTTAGTTTGGACCTTCTTCGAGGAAGCCAGACGTCTCTGGCCAGGATAGCTGAAAGAACAAGGCGCCAAAAAAATCATCTGTGAAGGGATTGAAGGATTACTTGAGATCAGGTTCGGTAATCGCGTCTGTAGGTTTCGATCCTACGACCTCAGGGTTATGAGCCCTGCGCGCTTCCTCTGCTCACGGAAACGAGGCGCGGCTCGCGGCCCGCCGTCGCGTTGCGGACATTCTCCGCGGCGCCGATTCGTCGAATTTGTTGGGTTGGTCGGGTGGAGGAGGTTGAGTTGGTTGACGGGTTGCGTTTCCGGGGGGGGCTAGCCTGCTAGTCGCCCCCTTCAACGGCTGCCTGCGCGTTCAAGTTGCTGAGGGCGGCGGGCCGGGTGCGCGGGCAGACAATTTTTGTATCGGAGCTGACCCCCACGCTGCGCCCTGGTTCTCCTATTCTTGTTT